ACTGAGATCAGCTTTTGCCTTCCAAGGTAAATCATCTCCAGGTCTGAATTTCTGGAGACAGTGATACTCTACAGGGCTGGATTCACCACATTACCAGCATTTGTAGCATTTTTTTCTCTTTTTCCTAATTCCTAAGCAGCTGGTTTTAGATGCCCTGATTAATGAGAAGTCACTCCTTCCTTCTCCCTGTAACCAGGTTCCTACTACTATGGAAATGTTCTGCTGCTATGGGCCTGTGGTGCCCAATGGATATGGGGCATGTTATAACCCTCAGCCAGAGCATTTATTATTCTGCATCTCAAGCTTTAAGGAATGTAAGGAAACCTCCTCAGGCATGCTTGCAAAAGCTGTGGAAGAAAGTCTTCTAGCAATGAGAGATCTGTGCAACAAATGCAGTTCTACTACAGCAAAGCCACCTGCTAAACAAGATGCAGCCACCCAGCTGCAGAGTGACCACCGGCGCTAAGAGGCTGTGGGAATTATTCTCCTGAATCCACTCTAGGAAGAAACACCACACAGCTGTTCAAAGGCAAGATAATGCTAATAATATAATAGTGTAGAACCAAAGTGTCATTTGTTTCTTGTTGTTGCCAACATTTACAACTCTGTGTACTAAATCTACCATTTCTTGCTTATGAGTCAGCAAAAAAGATTTGGTCTCACTGACTGAAATGAAGGAGGAAGTCATAAAAGTATGTGTTGTACTACCATTTCTAACCATAATTAACTTGTGCTATTTTATCACCTAAGAAATTGAGTCAGCTATATGCATATGACATAAATTAAATACTAAGGAACACCAATTAATTAATATCCCCCGCAAGTAGTTCTAAAATATTCACATCTACTACTACAAGATTTGCATGTAAAGAAAAAAAGAAATTTCCCCTATTGGGAATTTTGAGAGTAAAACTGTAAATAATAGGCTGATGCCATTATATCCTGAACTTTTGCATGAAGAGTATTTAATACCACCAGTCTATTTACTATATAAGAAAAACTGATTATTTTTTAAAGAGTGGCCCCTGTGCATTTCCACAGAGTTTAGGAACATAACACATGTGTTTGCATGTTTACCCCAACTCAAAAATGCTGCAGAAATAATTTAACTTTTATTCTGGTTTGCACTGGTCTCAAGCACAGTCCTGTTCTGAAAGCAGCATATAAGGAGACATGATCCATCACAGAGAACTGGGAGAATTTTGTCCCTAATGAATAGATTTAATTATTTCTTTCTATCAGTGAGTAAAATCCAGCCTGACAGAGTGGCAAAGCACAAACCATAAGTACTATTTAATCCTACTTAAGACCTTTTCTGTTTGCATTGGAATTAATTTAGTCACTGTGACTGGCAGGAGAGTGAATGCAACCACACAAAATCAAAGAGCAATAATTAGAATGAAGAGGTAAATTTGCAATATAAGGAAATCTTCAGCTTAGAGTTATAAATACCAGTACTGGTACTCATATCAGCTTTGCATCATCCCACTTGGAGGGATTTATATTTTATATTTTTAAATAGCAGATGAAGGGTATCATATTGTGCAATATACAGTAAATTCAACCAGGAAAGTGGCAATATATAGTGTCTGGTAATTCCCATTTTATGTCAGTGTTATCCTGAGTTTTTTCTAATTATCTTTTTCATTCCCTATAAATCCTTCCAGGGACTGATATTTCCAGTTACTTTCTTGTGAGGTCAAATATGCTGCCTTACTTTGAGGTGTTCAGTATCATTGTTAGAACACAACTTACTCACTCACTGAAGACACTCAGTTCCAAACTCCAGTGCAGATCCCATGCTGCACAAGCTGGAACACTTTCTGAGGCCTGGCCAGGGGTTGCTTCCTTGCCTGTGGAGAGTGATGTTCTCTCTTCCTCTGTAGACCAAACAATCACATGTTTAAGCACTCTGAAGCCTAAAAGCAGAATGGATTTATTGCAATAACCTAGAGATGCAGATATATTTCTGTTTAAGAACTCTAGATACAAATTCAGGAGATTCTGTATGTCCATTATTATTTTACTGCCTCTTTGGAGGTGCATACATGCACTTAAGCAGTCTGCTGGATAAAGGATATCCCCAACTCCATATGTGAAAGCCTGATAATCAATTAGAAGTAGCTATGTTGAAGTAAATCAACTGTGATGATTTGCAGACATTAAGAGCTTGGCTAATTTTTTTAAGTTATTTTATTTCACTGAAATATATGTATGTTTTATTACTCTGTGAGCTGTAGTTCAAATCAAAGATGAAATCTGGTTTTAGATTAATAATTTAGATAAATAATATTGTAGCATAAAAGCTGCCCCAAAGTTATCATAGAATGGTTTAGGTTGGAAGGGACACCTTCCACTAGACCAGGTTGCTCCAAGCCCCATCCAAACTTCCAGGGATGGGGCATCCACAACTTCTCTGGGCAACCTGCTCCAGTGCCTCACTGCTCTCACAGTAAAGAGCTTCTTCCTAACATCTAATCTAATTTAAAAGTACATAGATCTAAAGTACACTTTAAAAGTGCAAGATCTAAAAACGCATAAACAAAACCCAAGAAAACTGTTGCCAAGACCAAAAGTTTGCTCAAAGAATACATGATTCAAAATAAAGCTTTAAATTGTTCCTATACTATAATTACGAAAATTTCTTCAAAACATTCCCAGTAATTTTTCTTTATATCATTTCACTACAAAAGCATTCTGCATTTCTAACATAACTGTAGCACTACGTATCTTTTGTGGAATTATATGTTTAAAATTGTAGTCGTATTTTAAGTGTCTAAAAATACTGTGAATAGTTATTTGATAATTTTTTTAATTAAATATATACTTTTATTTTGTAATCCTAGCTAGATAAGTACAGATAGTTATTTGCAAATATTACCTGTTTCTCATTTTACTTTTTTGTCTGGAATCTTAACAGTAGCTTAGACACTGTGCTTAACACAGCCACTGAGAACTCAGGAAGCATCTACACCCACACCTGATACTTTATACCAATTTATCATTAACAGCCCCTTAATTGTCTATAGCTGCTGTAACAAGTGTTTTGCATTCTCCAGCTCTGGAAGCTACTGGTGGTGGAAAATACTGACAATATATTTTTACTTGAGGACCAGTGATCATACTTCCTATTCATTTAGCTAGCCATTCTGTACTTGTATCTTACTGATCTGGTTTTAGTGTTCAGCCTGAATATCTGAAAGGAGCACCTTTGATGACCTCAGTCCCTGCAGAGAAGTCTTTTGTGTACATGGTCTACCTTTGCCACTCCCTGTGCTAAAAGCACTATCTGCAAGGTACCTGACTTGGGGCAGGAAGCTTCAGGCCCAGTTCAGGTCTGTTTAAACTGGAGGCTTCTGGTTAAATTACAGATGGATAAAAATTCACAGGCATTACAAACTTCTCTGACGGCAGGAGCTTTCCAAGGGACTGTACTGCTTCTCAGTTAACACAATTTCCTACACCTGTGTGGTGTGATTCCATGCTGTATCTATCAAAGATTTCAGAAATAAGTTTTCTTAAATTCTTATTTAAAAGTATTTGTGTTATGCAAATGAAGTTCCTTTATGAAGTTTAAAAATACACACCTTTATGCACTTATGGAAACCAAATATATTTCTAACATGTTTCTAACCACAATACTGTGGAATAAGTTGTTCAGTATAAAAAGAGAGAAAATTTTGATTGACAAACGAGGTGTAATTACATTCATGTAACAAGTGGCTATGATTTAATGAGCCTCTTGGTGGGACCTGGGGCAAACAACCCCCTGCAAGAGAACTTTCAGAAAGTAATTGTTTTGCACTTCCCATAGGTGTACGCCAATGTACACGTAGTGCTGGGGTGCATAAATTAAAAAGCAAATTTTTTAATGAAATTCCATGTTCACAGTGATCAAAAGTAAAAGATGTTCGATTGCAAAACAGGGGTGTTTCAAGGGTGTAAGAGCCCGACCTCGCTCCTTTGACAGGAGTGCTGCCAGAGCCCCTGTGCCACGGGTAATTTGGCAGGACACGGCTGTGACAACGCAACGTGAGTTGCAGAAGACAGAGAAATATTTTAGTGATACTTTTATTTTTATAAAAAAGTATATATTTATGACAAATGTAAATGTGTATTTATAGCACATGTTGTTCCTGTTATGTTTCGTCTCTACTGAAATATATTTATCTGTCTATCGATATGTACGCCCTGAAGTGTACGCTGGTAACGCGCATTCAGCTCGTTCACGGTCGGAGCTCCGCAACGCCAATAAAAGCTATCAGAGGAAAGACCTTGTCGCCTTTTTGTGCCTCAGCCCCGGCCCCTGGAAGCCTCAGGGTCGCCCCGCGGGGAGGGAGCGGGAGCCGGGACTGCACCACCCGCGGCTCCTGTGCCCCGTCCCGCCCGGCGAGGCTCCGGGGGACTCCGCCCGGTCCGGGCCTGCCCTGCCCGGGGAGGAGGCCGGGCTCCTGACGTGCGATCGTGCAGTGTCACGGGTCAGGAGGGACTTAGAAGGATCAGCGGCTCCTAGCCCTGCACAGGACGTCCCCAGCCCTCCCAGCACTTTACAAATTACCTCCCAACAGCTTACAAATTACACGTGCCCGAGAGCGTTGTCCGAACGCTTCTTCAGCTCTGTCAGGCTGCTGCTATGAGCGCTGCTCTGGGGAGACTGTTCAGTGCCCAACCACCCTCTGGGTGAAGAACCTTTTCCTGAACCGAGTCTCGGCCTCCCCCGGGGTAGCTTCAGGCCGTTCCCTCGGGTCCCTGTCAGATTCCCCGGGGCCGCACCATACCGGAGGCTCTTGGTGTTCCAAAGCTGGCAGGCGGGAAGGGGGCTCCAGCAGCTGTGCCACACGAGACAGGGGAAAGGGCTGCTCCTCAAACACGCCTCAGAAAGCACCAACACCTCCATCTTTTGCGTTTGCTAGAATCAGCTTGCATTACAGCGCGCATATATTTTCCAGTTACACAAACCTCATTAAAAACACAGACTGAAAGAAGCACATAAACCAATGATGGAAACATTTAAACCCAAATGTAGTTGTAAAGTGAAGTACTTTGGAGTAGTTACATTTGCTGCTCACAGCTCAGCTGTTATTTCCAGCAACCAGCACAAGGCAGGCGCAGCAGGTACCCCCAGGCTCGGGTGCCACGGTTTGGAGCAGAGCTGCTGCGATCGATCTCCCACACGGGCAGCTGAGGGACCGAGCCAGCTGTGAGGCTCGGGGCACCGCTGCAGGGCTTGGAACGGCTCCACGGCAGCTCTGACAGAAGAGCAGTGCCTGGGGCTTTACAGAGTTCGCAGGTGCTACAGAACTTCACTAGCCATACCTAAAGTTGCAGCGATGGATAGCCCACAGAGAAGCATTGTAGCTATTTTTTTCTCAGTCATCTCATTAAGGACTGGTGTAGTCTATCTCCTGTTTATGTGGGAATGAGCAACACTTTTCTTCTGCTCCAATGCTCTCCAGCTGTAATAATAACCATTCCTGCCTAGCAAAATTCATCTAAGGTTGCAAGACAAATCAAATTGCATGCATGTGATCTCAAGTATTCCAAATTCCAGTTTTGTGAATTTAAAGGCTTTAGATAATATAGAAGCATCCCCCCCATGTGCCCCCCCCCAAAAAAAAAAGTATCAGACAAATCCCTATTTGCTTGACACTGAAAATTTACAAAAAGCATTAGTCAATAAGTGGGATACTAGCAACTCATTCAAATTTTTCTCACTGGGGTTGGTAGATTATTGCAATGTACCTGTCATGGCCCTAACCTGGGGAAACTAATCAGGTGGGCTTTTAATTTAGAGCCCACAGAATAGGGATGTCATCTCTCTCACCCATTTATAAGTGTGAATTAATTGTCTGAGTTTACCATCAAAGCTTCCTAGAAAGCAGTGAGAGCTGTCTGATGAGAATGGCAAAACGGCAGCAGAAGTTGAAAGCATGCTACTTTATGAGCACTCTTTCCTCAGCCACTTCTACTTTTTCAGTAAGCTGAATTTAAATACTGCAAATAGCCCTCACAGGTGGATGCAGTTAGGTTAAATGGTTGAGAAATGCTGACCCTTGCAAGTCATACAGCTACAGTGGACTAGGACAGAGAAAATACCTCCACCTGCCAGAATATGTGAGATGTCAGTACAGCCTTAACACAGCTGATAGAAACCTGGAAAGGTGAGACCCTGAATGTTTGACTCTACAGGAATTTGCTTCTGCCTTGTAAAACAACTCAATAGAAAGTGATGAATTAAAACAAATTCAAATCTGGGGAGTGCTCAGGCAAGTATGTGCATTTCTGTGTTCTTATTTCCCCAGTTCTGATTAATTTAACATTATACAATGCACCATAATAAATCTGAAAGGCACCTAATTCAACTAAAAAAAATGTGGATCAAGAGATTATTTTGTCCATTCTGATTTGATTCTGAGCTTCACAAAAATCTCAAGTGTTTAATATCCTGAGGGATTACTCTTTCAGTAGAAGAAAGATGAATTATGAGTCAATGAACAATTGGGTTATCAAGGTTGTTCACTTAATGTTCCAGCTGTTCTATAACACCATCTTAATGCTAACTGAAGAATTCTTTTGAATTTAGTCTTATTCTGTGGTACTTACAAATAAATGCTTTTTGTTTCTTACAGCTGCTCTGCCAGTAAATAGCAAATACGAGTACAAAATTAATTTCTTGCCTTTTACCCCTAGACCTAGAAATGACAGAGGCTAGAGGCTTCATTCAAAGGAGATCCATTAATGTAATAATAGTGAAGATGGAGATTAAAGCTGATAGGCTTTGTGGGGAGTTTTGTACAGCACTTAACTACATTAACACTGGGTTTTTCTCGTCCTCATCAGTGCTAGAACTTAGATATACTCAAAATTTACTGAGAACCAAGCAAATACAGTACTGACCACTGCTTCTTTGCCTTTTTCCAGCTGGCCTGGAGGCAGAGGGACATCACCTTATTCTGGAAGTGGTAACAAACTGGAATGCTGTAGACCTGGTGGTTGACAGGGATATTGTATTTCATTGCAACATTTATGACCTGGGTTTTGGTAACGCCTGAATTTTATTATTTGCAGTTTTTTGAAAAGCACCTGTATTTTGAAATGAGCAATTCCTAAGGCATAAACAGTCCAGGTTCTACCAACATTTACACTTTTAAGCTCTGTACTGCTTTTTATTCAAGGCAGTTTGAAAGGCACAATCAGGAACAGAGAATGGCTTGGGAGTTAAGGCCATGCTTGGGAGAGCACTGTCTGGGGCCATCCCACATGCACCAGCCCACAGCCACAAGAAAACTTGCTAGGTTTTGGTCCACAGAGGTATTAGGGCTTCCCTCTGCTTTCAAAATAGGAATTTTTATTTTTTGTTTGAGCTAAATCCATCTCAGATTACTGAATTAACTACAGCAGAATCAAACTGGGTCCAAGTACTGTGAGGGAGAGCACAAAGGGCTATATGTGTTGGGGTAAGAAGTAGAAATGTAAAAGGTAAAAAATATATGCAAGTAAATGTATTTAAGTTGTAGTTTTCTCCTTTAGGAGGTGATGGCAAGTTAGATCCACTTTGTGAAGAAGCCAGAAAAGCAGTGTTAAATGCTTAACAATTTACAGGGACACTTCCCCTTTAACCTTGGGTTTCGGTCAGGCAGTTTACTTGCATCACAAAGATTGGTTCTTTACAGTTCTAGGTCTCTTAATGAAGGGAGATAATTTTGTTACACCCTCATGTCAACCAAATAAGAATAGAACATCTTTTCCAGAAACAGCTGTATGTTATTACCCTGAATATTGCAAATTGGGGTAGAACTGATTTGTATGGCATTTTAATAATTTGAATTAAATTAAAAGAAGATTGAAACTCTGGAAATCTTTAATTCTTTCAACTTTATAAAGTTTCTTATGTCAAAGATACTTTCAAAGTCATTAATAGCTGATAATACATCTTTTTACAGTTATACTGGTTGACAGTTCAGTTCTTCTCTTGGCCACAAATACCTCAGAGAACATTTGTGCATTACTTGGGAGCCCAAAAGGAGAGAGAAAGAAGTTGGCATAGCCATGAGGACAGGATTAAAACTGACTTGGTATTATCACAGCTGATATTCCATGTACCTCAGAAGTAACTAGAGTATGAAGCTTCTCTTTTGCTCCTTATTTGTCAACAAACAATTTTATTTTAAAAACAATTTACATTTAGGTAAGTTCAGCAGTGTGAAAATAATCATATGCCAGAATGCTGGTGCCCTGAGCAATATTCAGTTTGGCCCATGATTAGTTATGAAAGAAGGAAGTGGTTAATCTTTGCATCCTAACAAAGGGGGTTGAGCCAAGAAACACAAGGATTTGCTGAGCCCAGGAAGAGCAGGCAGCAAAGCTGCAGTTTCCAGCAGCACTGCAGGAAAGCAGGCTGCCCAGCACAAAACCAAAACCCAAAGAAAACCTGTCATTCAGTAGCTTCTACCAGCTGAAATCTGTAACACTGATCCAACACCGCAGTGTGTCAAAATAACACCATCACTATGTCCAGATTCAGTCCCCTTCCCTCCAGGGGACAGAGACACTAAACCAATATTCTTTGATGAGAAAAACAATACTCATAGTTAAAGCTGAGCAAAGCAGGAATTGTATTGTTCCTTTAGAAGACTGAAACATTTTTGCTTTCTACCACTCTGATATAACAAGATTAGAAAGTGGGAACATCCAGACTGAGCTGGATTGAGAAGATCAATACAATGAAGCTTGGCACAGCTGGCCAGGGGCACTTTTTGCAGGAAGCATTCACACAGACAGCAAACTGGGTTTGCAGCACCTGCCCTGGACAGAGGGAGTTTGTTCACACCTTGCTGTCACCCTGAGCCTCCCTCTGCCACTACTGAGCAGATTGTCCTGCCCATAAAGCAGCTCCAGTGCAGCTCCCAGCAGAGGCAGGGCTTTCTCAAACATACCTACCACATTCATCACTGGGACACCAACAAATGGGCTTCTGCTCTGGCAGTAAATTGTTTCTTGGCCTCTTAGATAAATGCAAATTAATTAGACTAAAATAGTTTAAATAATGCTACTTCTGGGCAGGATTTACTCCCAAAAATAGCAGAATAAACTCCCCAGATCTCTTAAGCATGGAAAGCTGTGAACATCACTGGAAACATAGCAAGCAGATGAGCTCACTACTGTGACTAGTCTTGGGGTAGATTTTTGGTTTGTTATTTCATTTGTTGGGTGGGTTAATTTTGCTGTATTTGGTGCCTTCTTTAACATCACTCTGAGGACATTTCTGACATACCTCCAAGTCAGAATAACAGCAGTTTTGTAGGGAGATACTAGGCCTTAATAAATCAACATGTTTAACTGGAGTAAATACAAAAAAGCTTTGAGGAACACAAAGCTGCAGGTTTGAATCAGCAAGCTTTCAAGACAAGCATGGGTTGAGAACAGCTGCTCTGACTTTGCTTTAGAGTAAAATTATGACCAAATTGTAAGAGTGAGGCAAAAAATCAGCTGCACCTAAAAGAGATCTCATAGCTCCACATAGAGATCCCAGGCCCCCTTACTGTGTTTTTGTTACAGAAGGAAGAAATAAACACAAATGTGCAGTAGCCCTTTCAGTCTGGTACCTGCCCCCAAGCACTACCTGCAGTTAGTTGCCACAGCACTAACTGTGCTGGATATTGAAAGGCACGACAGCAGCCCCGTGGACAAAGGCGTGTAATTTTTTTATAATGAAATATCCACTTTTTTCCCCTCACTTTTTTCCTCATTTATAAGGGGATTATCTGCCCTGTGGATAATCATGGCCATTCAAAACTGAATTTAGCCTCCAAGTCTTCCCAACAGCAACTTCCAGCCAGACTATTGTGACAAAGTCAAATCAGGAAGAAGAAAGCAGCCACAGAAAATTATTCCAGTAGTAACACCAACTAAATTGCTGTGCAGCTTTTATGGTTTGACTAATTGTCTCATTAAGGCACATTTCTGATCACTGAAATGGATCTCAAGTATTATTAATCACTGAAAAAACGGTACCACTAAGAGCCTCTCTCCCTCCTATCCCTGGCACTCTTTGCAATGGAAAAGGCTGACAGGCTCCTGTTGATTGGAGCCCCACTGCTGCACAGTTGGCAGTCAAACAGTACTAATGGCACAATAACCCAATAGAACTAAAATAGTTATGCCTTTCACAGTAACAATCTCTTATAACGTGATTAAGCTCCATCATGCACATTTCCTTGTGTTTTGCAAATGGCTCAAAAAAATCTGACAGTTTTTCCAGTAACTTCTTCAAAAGGAGAGGAAAAATATATATAAAATTCATTAGCTATCATGAAACAAATTTTAAAAACTCGATGCATTTCAGAATAATATGAAAACAACTGCAGCAAGCACGGGCTGTGGCACCCAGTCCACTCCCCCTTGCAGAACACACCTCCAAAGCCTGGCTTTGGCTCAGTTATTTGCAGGCACTTCAGTGAACCTTAGTTTAGGGGCTGGCTTGCCCTGGGCTAGCTCTGTAACTGATGGAGAGAGACACCTCCACAAAGCAGCTCAGATCTCTGGGTACAGACTGTAGCACCTCTGGGCTCCTAATCTAGGTACTTCAGGGGTGTTTGGTTTGAAGCAATATTAGGAAAGATGAAGCTTCTTCCTCATATAAGGAGCCCACTGATGGGCTCTCTTCATTCTCAGCAAACAGGAGGATGTTGCTCTTGGCCATCACTCCCAGTGGCTGCACAAACCATACACTGCAACAGGACAGTTCCCCTTTCCAGGGGAGACCTTTAGGTGTTTATCCCATGCATTATCATATTAAAGACAGCAGACAATTTCCAAGCAGCTAACTTTCAGAAGCCTAATGCAGAAATGGCACAGTTATTGCTGCAGGATATACAGACTTTCATGGTTACCAGTTTGATCAAGCAGAAGAAAAGACCTGCAAAGGTCTGGGAGCTCCTCTGTGGAGATGGAAGTGGTACATGGGAAGGAAATGACAAAGGTAATCGTCAGTATAGGCTCCTTCAAGTGAGAGACAAGATGCATCACTAATTTAAAATTTATTTGGAATGCAGCCATTGCTTGCTACAGCTCTCAGTTTTAATCAGTTTTGCAAGGCAGTTTTAGGAAAAGACAGGGTTGTTCTGCACCAACACACAGGCACTTTTCAGGCACATCAATATTTGCTCACATATAGGTGTATATGCAAATGTGCCCAGGAATGACCCACCAAGGCTGTATGAAGTACAGAAACATCACAAACAAGTGGGCTTTGTTGTAGGCTTTGGAATTAGTTCTGGGGAACAGAACCTGGCTAGAGAGATCTCCTTCCCTTTGGGCTTTGTTACAGAGACAGGTACCACAGAGTTGAAATCTGCATAAATCTGTTGAGCTCCTGAGCTGTGCAATATTATTCTCACGATGACAAATATTATTTTACTGATGAGTCTAATAAGGGACCTCAGGGTTGTGGTAAATGAAAAGGAAATAAAAATGGAAGTAACAAAAATAATCACACTTCATGTATTCCCTAATTTTTAAATGTACATAAATATCAGAACAGTAATGCTGAAAAGAAGGGAAAATATTCTACTTTTTTTTTCCTGGCCGTCCCTTCAGAAGCTATTTATGAGCAGTCATAAACTGACATGCACACTCAGATATATTTTCCTGAAGCCTGTAGAGTTTTGTCTAAGCAAAAGCTTCAGAATATGTGTGTGTAAATAAATTACAGCCTGTCTGGTTTATAATGAGAAGGGTGTATTGTGGTATAAATATTGCAGAGCACATTAAATAAACATGGTCACATATGACCAGGTATCTATTAAATGAGCACATCACAGGAGAAGTTAATTATCTGAGAGTGTAACTAGGAACCGTTTAGAATCACTGGAGATTAAGTTGCTTTATTTGTGTTTATCTTTCCTTCTGAATAGGCAGTAGGTCGTTGCAATGAAGAGTCCCTGAGCAAAACAGAGCTTCAGCTCTTCATCAACTCTAAGATGACAGTGTTGTCAACACCAGTTTGGAGTCAGGATAAGCCAAAAATTTTATTCAATCTAATTTTGTGCAAAATGAGTTGGCACAAACCAGTATTTTAAGATGTAAAAGTGCAAAATATTTATAGATACCTTACGGTGTTCAGGGTAAAGAGGAAAACTTTAAAGCTAAGTATTTATTTGTCTCACATACTGCAGCCTAAAAAAGTATATAAAGACTTCTTCAAAACAGACTTGTAGTGTCAGAGACAAGCATCCTGAGAGTAACATACAACTTTACCCTAGTAATAAGATTTTTTGAGACTTCACAAGTTATTGTGTTTCCGTCCACATGCAAAAACATCAGTGTTGATCGAATTTGATTTTGCTTGGGTTGTGAAACTCCCAAAAAAAGCTGTCCACTGTTCATCCTATACAAAATAACCAATATTGCAAACATGGACTAATTAAGGATATGTTTGGGCAAACTGCTGTAGCACAAAGAACAACTGATGAAGGAGGATTTAATCACATACAATTATTGAAAGCAAGATGAAGCCAATCCCCTTAAATTACTTAAGTACTGCTTAAACCCTGTAATAAACATATAGTAATAAATATTTCATCTTTAACAA